CACGTGTTTAAAAGAAAAATTCAAATTCCCGACCCCCTTCAAATTCCCCACCTTCCACTAGGAAAAAAGGTCAAATTCCCGCCTTCTTAAAATACTAAACAAGCAAATTCCCCAGGTATGCCCGGGGGGGGGGATGTCAAGGTTTCGATTTGATTCGCGCATTATTCATCAAGTGGATGTTTATATTCGGCAATATGGCTGCCTTCAAGGAGTGCGCGTTCGAAATACGGTATACTGCTTGTTTTCTATGGATTAATGGAGATAATTTGCAAACAGAAAGAAAGAAAGTAACAAAATGGACAATTATAAAGTAGACGTAAGCAACAATATCGAAGAAACGTCAATTATGAAGCCATTAAAAAGTTTCTTCATTTTAACATTTTCTTGTTATAAAGTTGTCTATTATTAAAACATTGTGCTCAAGTATAATTGTAAAATTTTATGCACACTGTAAATATAAAATGTTTAATAATATATAGTTACGATAGTAAAGTTTTAATGGTGTAATATATTGTGTTTTATTAATTTTTATGCTTTTGGTATTGGTCACTTGGCCTATTTAATACCCGCCTATATTAAAATGGCCCTATATTAAAATGGCCAATTGGAATTTATAAATATAGCATATGGAATATTATGGGTGTATTTTACTATTTCTGAATTTTCCTCAGTTGTATTATTCGTGAGTAATTTTAATAGCTTTTAATTAAATACAGTGAATAAGCTTATAAGCATATTCAATTGCACCAGTCATTTGAATCCTTGCACCTTTGGCATACAACCAGAGGGGAATGCAAGGACAATCGCCTCTTATTCACTGGTTTATCATTTCTTGGCAAACAGGGAAGACACTTACTTTCAGTGTCCAAGTCGAGGAATGAATGAGGTCATGGGGGAGGGGGTCACTTAGTCTTTTATATAAATGTTGAAATAAAGCAGTCGGCTATATAAATGCTGAAATAAAGCAGTCGGCTAGGAAAGGTTTAGTCTTTTATATAAATGCTGAAATAAAGCAGTCGGCTAGGAAAGGCTTTTACAGAACAGTAAAGGAATGGTTTGGGAAATTTCATGTAAAAATTCCAATTGAATACCTGGGGATGATAGGACTGAAGAAATTTACCTTGCCATTTTGTCCTGGCTGCAGGGGACTTCACTGAATTTCACACACCAAATTAAGTGAATGCCCCTGGTATGCCCGAGGTGGGGGTCTCGAATTCTTGTGTCATTTGGATGAGATCATGTATTTAGACTGTTCCCTGTCAACAGTTCAGAATGGAATACTTATTCTGTTGACTTATTGCAAATCTTGTAAGAATTGAAATTATAAATAAACTATTATTATTAACAAAACTGAAAATTTGTACATGTATATGCAGGCTTCTAGCCAGGAGACACCCTACCATGTCTGTATAAAAATTGATTTTAAACAAACCATTACAAAAATGACAAAAAAGTTGCTTTGTATTCTGAAATTCTGGTTTAAGCCTCCTGCTATAGATACAGTATATTGAACTGGAAAACTTTTCATATCTTTAATGTGGAAATGTGTAGTACTTAATCTATTCTATTGATAAATCAGAATGTTAACCCCACCTCCCTTACCATCACTCAGGTATACATCCTGTTGTGGTGGAGATTTAGATTGGACACCTGGATAGATAGTAGAAAACACTTAGTCACACTTCTGTATAATGAGGGGGGCAATGAACTCCCTGATGTGAAATTGTAAGAAATTTAAAAATTGACCAGTGATAACTTGACATTATGTATGGGAGTCAAATTTGCTATTAACATTACCCTCCAATCATTGACTATCCCTAGAAGGCGCACTTGCATGTAGATTAAAATATATTGGAATGCAGAAAATATTGTTATACTTTAATCTGAAAACAAAAATTTCCCTGAAACAATTAACATACATTGGGCCATACAGTCATGTATAAAGCAGCATAGTGAGTTGCATTCATGGCTAAAGACATATTAGGTTAATTATTTTACATAATTATTTTTCGTCATTTGCCACGCATGTAATCGGTGAAGGATTCAGGATTATCCTGCATGGAAATAACGTTTTAAACGTGCTATATACAGTAAAACGGTGTTCAATATTCATACGACATGATGGGCATATGGCCAAACAAACACCTTGTGCTTTTTTGCTCAAATTTTATACGCACGCATGATTTTGTATACATAATATAGATTTAAATCTAGCAATTCAAATACAAAACTCATGCATGACATCTATCTATAATTTATATTTCCTTGAAATGTTAAGTGATTCATTGTTATTGCCGTTGTTGTAACCCAGTAAACAGACACACACCGCCGTTTAGACATGTCACAATCACATGTCGTTCTTGTTCCTTTTAATATACAACATACGATGGACGATAAAGCTTCGAATTACTTCTCTTTAATTTCCAGTCCGGCTTTGTCCAGTCTTTAAAATGACTTTACAAGCGCGTGTTGAAACAGGTCATCTGTACAAGAACCCATAATGTTTCGAATCACAGCAACCACTTCGAGCACATTTCGACTCGATCATGTTTACATCATACATGAAAATTGATACATATGTAATACGAGACCGAAATATGGTTGTATTTTGACGAATATTATCGATATAACGAAATATAAAACCCCAATATGTATAATTCCATTAGGTGGTCTGCACATATTCCCTTGATGGTGGAAAATACATCGAAACAAAAGAAAAATCCAATATTATCTGCTCACCAACACGTCTCCACTCCTCAGTAAAAATTAGTGCATAGTCAGCATTTTTAGCTCGCAGCAGAGCACGTTTACTTCCGGAAAACACCAGAATTTGTGGTGTTCCGGTTTGGCTTGTCCCAGGCACTGATCTGAAATAAGACTGGATAACGCATCTATAGTATACAAAAGTGAAGCCGGAAGTCACCGGCCGCCACCCGATTCTGGGGCCCCACTTTTGTATAGATTTGTATTACAGACGGTAGTTTTTCGCGTTTTTTGCCTTGGCTACGTTTCCGATCGGGCCAATTTTACAATCACAACGATAGAAGCATACAAGACGAATGTTGAGCAAAAAATTTGGAGTATTATGGCTTTATAACGCCGCGAAACGGGATTTACAACTCTGAAGGAGTGGAGAGCCTCAGACTTTGTTTATCAACAAGAGCTCGTTTTGCTACTTTCATACAAAATCAACTCAAAATATACAAGAATTATTGTTACTGGACGAATATTCTCACGAAATTTGAAGAAATGAAGCAACTACATTGTGAACGAAAGCGTACAGAGGTTAGACTTTGTTTATCAACACGAGCTCGTTAATAGCCTCGTTTGCTACTTTCATACAAAATCAACTTACTGTAAAATATACAAGAATTACTGTTTACTGGACGAATATTCTCAGGAAACTTGAAGAAATGAAGCAGGTACATTGTGAACGAAAGCGTTATGAGGTTTATAGTTTTAAAATACCTTGAGGCTACTTTTATAATTATACGAATTTAATAAGGAACAGTTTTAAATGTCAATTTTGTTAAAAGCATTCCTAGGCGACTTGTCGAGAAGTTTTATACAATGAAATATTTTTAATCCAAATTATAAACAAGGACTCGATAAATTTATAATCCTAAGATCTTTTACATATTTACTCTAAATAGCTTTTAGACGTTTTAAAGTAGAATTAATAACTTTGTAATGACTTGTATGTATTGTATATGAGGGCCACAGGTTTTTCAGTTATATTGCTGTCATGTGTTTTTACCCTCTTTAAATAAAGTTGTTCATTCATTCATTCATACGTTATTTTTTATTAAATTCATATAATTATGGAAGTGGCCTTAAGGTATTTTAAAACTAACCTCTGTACGCTTTCGTTCACAATGTAGCTGCTTCATTTCTTCAAATTTCGTGAGAATATTCGTCCAGTAACAATAATTCTTGTATATTTTGAGTTGATTTTGTATGAAAGTAGCAAAACGAGCTCGTGTTGATAAACAAAGTCTGAGGCTCTCCACTCCTTCAGAGTTGTAGATCCCGTTTCGCGGCGTTATAAAGCCATAATACTCCGAATGTTTTGCTCAAAATTTACGGTGGCCCGTTAGGGACACGCTTGTTCCGTAGAAAATCACATTCGTTCTGTGTACTTGAAGTAGTTTTCCTTAATAACAGAGCGTTTCTGTATAAATGTGCGGCGTTTCCGTAGAAAATTCAGACGACTTCCGCAGAAATATAGACGCTTTCCGTACAAATGTAGACTTCTTCCGTACAAATGTAGATG